TGGTGACAGCTTTGGGCAAGCACAATCGTTACAGTCTTGCTACTGACTTATGTGTGGAGGTCATCTCCCTTTCCTCCGAACTCAGCCTTCTGTCTGGAGGTAGGAACTGATTATCCTCTTTAGCTGGCTTGTAGGTTGCAAATAAAGGGTTTATCAGATTAGCGTTAGCAGCATTGACATTGTGACTTTAAGTCATTGTGACAATAGAGTGTGACGGAACGTGGAATTAGTTTTTGAAGGGGCAAGAGTACCAGTTCATACTGTTAGTAATGCACATATGGTTACATAGAATGGATGAAATGCAGAGAATAAATTCTTGCCCTTCCCTCTGTCACCACCTATTTCTAAAGCAAGAGATCTTCAGCTTACATTAACACAGGCAGAAAGTACGTCCAGATGATGGCAAGGTAGTCCTGAATGCAAACTGTACTATTTTATTGCAGGACAAATAGCTATTATTAATGTATAAACTACAAATTAAGGCATGCCTAAATCACTTTTAATGTGGATGTGAAACAAGACATCCTAACAGCACTGCTTTACATTACAACCCATCTTTCACCCCAAATCCCCTTCCTAGCCAAGTACTCAAATCTCCCAAATGGTGCACACTTGAGCATGCACCCAGGCAAGGCTCACGTAATGTACTTACCTAGGTATTTCAGGGGGTGATACCGCAGTCTGAGCATTTGCCAATGTATGACCTTTCTGCTATTGAATGAAATATTACCATTCCATTCCTTTATCTGAAAATTCAGTTATTTGTAAAAAGTCTTGTCCACTTAGTTGACTTAGTCGGGCGGTCTGTGGCAGACCCTCACCTCAACACTGGCAGCATTACCTTCGCTTCCAACTTGGATCCAGGAAGTCGACAGAGCAAAGGTCTCCATAGGGAGAGAGGGTTTTGAGGGAAAGGTTCACCTAGATCAGTGGTCTCCAAAGGGGAGTGTGGGAAGAAAATATTCAGTACAAAATATTTCTTTAAAATTACAAAGTAAAACAAAATAAAAATAACTAAGCAAAATTAAATAAATGCTATTTAAAATATTTTTAATTTCCCTTTTTGTATTTTTTTATAATGTACATAATAGTACAGTAGAACCTGTATATAACTTATAAATTAATATACATGTGTTGGGGTGCTTAAAATTTTTTAATGATGGGGTGCATGATGAAAAAGGTTTGGAGACCACTGAACTAGATTATCTCAAGGGGCCCCCTTCCACCCAACATTTCTGTAATACACATTGTGTTTTGGTATTAATTCTATAAAACAGTGTTTTATTAGTCCTGTACTTAATTTGAGATAACTATATGTAATCAACACGAATGTAGGATTTTTACACTCTAGTTTCTACTTCAGACAAGTATCCCAACATTCATAAAATCTTGCATTAATCAGAAAGCCTTTTAAACTGGAGCCGGAAGTGGGATGTTTTAGATAATTTCTTTCTGTGAAGAACCAGAACTATCTGGCAAACATGCTTGCACCCTTTTCCAAATGTTATGTTAACATAAAATACATTAAACAGAAGATCAACATGTCTGGGCCTTGAAAGACATGCAAATATACAGGATTTGCTGCTGAAATTACAGAATTCAGGAAACACTACTATTTTTTTTTTATGATTACAAACAATGTTACGCACCTTTTAGAAATTATCACTATTATAGAGGCCTTTTGTCACAGTCCAGATACTGTGCAAATGTGTCATAGTAAAGGCACATAATTGACAAAACCTTGTCAGGATTTTCTATAGCAGTTTCTATAGGCACATAGTATACTATGACTTAATACAGTCAAACAAGAATTTGGCAATGCTCAGTATAACATTCTCAAGTGTTTCTGAAAAAAAAAAATTAAAAAAGAGAAAAAAATCAAGAAGCTGATATTTTCTCATATATATACACAACATACAAAACTGTAATAAAAAAAAAGAACAGCTATGTTCCACTGTGCAGCAGACTGAATTACATATATTATAAACAAGCAGCAAAAAGATTTTGTGATGCTTCAGGTGTCAATGAACAAGTTTTTAATATCAAGCATTTTAGAGGAGTTTACATGCTCTTTAAAGTAGTCTTAACACTTAAGCTTGTAACTAGCACATTTTCAAAGTTGTACAGTTTGTAGTAGTGTTGAAGTTAAGTTCTATATTAACTACAGCTTTCACTCAAGGTATTCTTCAAAAGATGCCATAATATCACTCTGCAGATTCATATCAATTGTACAAGCCATCTGCAAGAAAGCAAATTAGTGTATTTTCAGAACAGTCGGACATTAACAAATACTATGCAGGTCAAATATTTAATAAAGATTTAAGAAAAAAACCTCCTACAAAGCTTCTTCCAAAAAAAGTGTATGTTTTCTCTATTATTAGAAGTTTGAGCATGCATTTTGTTTAAGCCCTCTCTGAAAAGAGCTGAACAGGACAAAAACTTCAGTAGACCTTATCTGAACCTATCATGATCTCACACTGCAGTTCTTACATTCCATTGTACAATATTATGAATTTTTAAAAAACATTTAATCTAAAAAAAAGGTAGCAGTTAAAAAACATTAATTACCTACACCAATAAAAACGAGTAAGTTAGTTTTAAAAAAGCTCAGTTTTGATATTTCAGACCAGAACAGTATGACTAGCACTTTAGTTGGCATGGAATACATTAGAGGGGATAGACAGCTTGCAAGACTTGAGGCTTGAAATTATTCAGAGGGCAGGGACTCCTCTATAAAATTTGATTTTACCATGCAATTATTCCAAGCTTATGGAAATAATAGGATCAAGCAGATAACTTTTCATATTATGTCACTTGAAGACCTACTTTGAGTTTCCTATTTCATTTTCCGCACTAACTCTTCAGGTAGCATAGCTCTGTTGTTTTCAGTCATTCAAGTCCTTTAAAATAAGGCCCTGAGCTAACATTTTTTATTCTCTACTAAAGTTGAAACAAAATGAGCTGGCAAGAGTCAGCAACTCACTGCTTCTCTTCTCCTGCGTTCTTGTTCCATTTTTCTAGCCAAGTTACGGTCTTGAACAAGAGTATGTTGTTGAGCTTCAGGGAGTTGTTTGCTCTTACGTTCTTCTTTTTGGGGCTCACAGTCTATCTCTGCCATGGCATCCAATCCTTCATGGCCTTCATGGCCCCTTTAAAGACAGGAGAATAGATCAGTACAGGATAAAAGTAATTTCTTCTTTTTCCTCATAACAAGCCTTTGCACCTGAACAGAGTTCTGCAAATAATTTAAATCAGCGCATGGCACTCAAACTGTTGTTCTGTTTATGTGTTGATTCATAGTAATTTCCCTTCACAAGGGATAACGTGCATGCAATTGTTGGGCTGTAGTAGGTTAAGGTTTCCTGTGTTCCATCTCCAATCTTTATGCACACAGGATTTATGTAAATGCTACACAAAACTTACATGTGCTTTCTTTGAAAGACATACACACTTAATTTTCTGTTACTTTCTTGGCTTGTGATGTTTTGCTTCTATCTTCTTCCTCTTCAACCAGTTGTTTGAGGTAGATTTCACTAACTTCAGGCAAGCATCTGTAATGTCTTACTCCATAGACCTACATGCCTGGTTTCCTCCTCAGGGAAACCTGGAGGAGCAGAAGGTGCCTGGACTGTTCGCTATAAGTTCTGAACAAGGAGTGTACTCTTAAGTCTCTCAAATGCTCTGTTTATTAAAATAATACACTCCAAATAAGTGACCTATTCTAATACAGCCAGCAACGAGCAGGAGAATTTAGAAACTAGCTCAGACTTATCTTTCACAGGGTCAAAGATACAAGAAAAAACCCACCAAGAATACTGAAGAGGGAAATATTACAGAAAACAGTTTCAAAAAGGTGGGAAACAGCAATCTAAGAAATTACTGCAATGCAGTAATTAGTAAGCAGTCACTTATCCCACTCAGCATAATAACAGACCTCAGACTGGGATGCACATGTGGGCACTCACTAAAACAGTGGCTGCAAACAACTAGAGAAGAATACTGCAGCAGTAGCTTATTGAATATGTTTCTCCACAGCAATGCAAAGAATTCTGCTGTCTGAAGTGGTGCACGCTGGAACTCTGGTAGTTGTGTTAACACCAAGTTCTTGAAGACTAGATTATCCTGCTTCCCCTTAGGATAGCAATAAAATAAGGTGAGGATTTTCCTGGCTATAGATACAGTAAAGATGCCAAGGACAGGTGTGAATTCCGGTCATGACCAGAGGAATTGAGTGCCCCAGGGGACAAAAGAGTACCTGAGAAGTTTTGTTGACTGCTGAAAGATACTGCTCTGCAAGGGAAAAAGCCACTTTGTGCACTTAGGATGCACAGTGCAGCCCCTTCATGTGACACAAGGCAATTACCTAATCCAAACCACTTGTCCCTGATTAACTAAACCACCCAGAACCACATTTTTGGAGCATAGGCAATGAATGCTTAAGGTCTTTACTAAATCAAAAGCCCCTGATTTTCCTTTCTCTTTGACTAATCAAATAGTACTCAGGTATACAGCAGATTCCACAAAGTTTCTAGCCAATCATTACTGAATTGCAGATCTGCATTGGTAAATTTATTTTCTTATAGGATATCCTGAGCACAAACATGGAGCATCATGCCAAAACTCCAGTAGAGTTACCATCACTAGCCAGATATGTTTCTTCAACTGTAACAGCACCATTCCAACCATATTTATTATTCAATTTTAGAAGTCAGCTTTATAAAGCTGACAATACTATTGCTCTTCAACACTTTTGTATCTTTACCCATGATGGGAGGCATGTATCACATCAATTAAGCAGCCTGAGGCTGAAATTTTTTTCTTAAAAACAAAATTTTTTTCTTATTTAACTATCCAGATTGTAGGCCCTGCACATAAATGAAGCATACAAGTGAAAAAAAACTCCAAACCAATAATATTTAAATATATGTGGTTACAAACCTCTCTTTTTCTTGAGGAAGGTTTTGCTGTTCCCTCTTGGCTTGCACCAGAGGCCTTTTTAACCCCTGTGCTTGCCCATTCCTCCTCTTTAATGCTGCTTTCCTGAACTGTTTGAAGCTCTCAGCAGATGTTTTTATCGGAGCTGGAAGCATCATCGTTTTACATAAGTTTATCCAGGAATCTATATTCTTAAATCCTGTATCCTGAAGTTAATAGAAAAAGGAAAACATGGAAGAGGCAAAAATAGAACTATGAATCATCCCTTATGTGCTTAGTTCTTATATTAGCAGAATGTTGCTTTGACTGGACCTATTTGGGAATATCTACAACAAAGTATCCTTACTTTGGCAGAACATTAGCACAAGTGCAGCAATCTAAGCAGACTTCAAATGTTTTCTCATCAACTTTAACGATTTTTAGCATATTGCTAAAGAATCTCAGCATTTGTATCTATTCTTACCCAATCCTTTATGTCCACCTCTCCATTTTTTAATTCCAGAAAACATGAATTCACAAGACTGAGCTTATGGAAGACCCATTGATGACATTTTAATACAGAGAACATCCGTCTCATTCTATATATAATCCTTACATAACAATAGTTTTGTATTAGGTTTGTGGGTCTTGTTTGTTCTAAATACCCGTAAGCCACACTTACCTTTCTTGGAAGAATTTTGGATTTTGGCTCTAGCATGTTCTTGCCATTAGGTTTATCGTTAGGTGTATAGTGACCTGATGGAAGAATAAAAAACATTTTTATGTTGATTTTATGGACTATGTTTCTTCAAATTTAAGTGATAAAAATTTAGTCATTCTAGAAATTGACTTAATAATTTACACTGCAGTTTTTTCTTCTTATTATTATTTGGTTCAGAATGACAGAAATGCTCCCAAACATCTCCTAAGCTTAAGTTGAACTGGGCCACTGGTCTCCAGTTTGGGACAGGGAAAGGAATAGTTAAGCTCAACTACAGATGAGAAATTAACTCCTGATTAGTTCTAGGAGAGGTCCTAGCAGAATACCCAAAAGGTTTGGTCAGAAAGTTTTGACACAGCACCTTGCCAGTTGCTCACCTCCTGTCCCCTCCCTACCCAGCCCTCTTCCATTTTGATACCTGCATTATTTAAGAATACCTTATTCATCATATAAACTCATTTTGCCTAAAGTTCTCCAGCCTATTTCCTTTAAAAAAAAAGAAAAAGAAAAAGCCAGCAAGTCAGCTAGTAAGAGCTAATCATCACATTTCCAGTAGCCAGGTTGTACGAATACTCCATGCTGTTACCTCTTTGTTACTTGTGAGGGAAAAAACCCAACACTTACACAGGCAAAGTGGAAGTGCTGTTTTGACAAAACTAATTTCAGATTAACAGTTCTGATATGCTGCATTACTGTAGAAGATCCATACTATTTTGTGTGAAATACACTTTCCCCAAACATTTTAGGACTTAAAAAAACTTTTAAAATGCAAGAACAGACAATTTCCTACAGCGATTATGGTAAGACTGAAAATAGACTTTTGTAATACTAGGCACCGGCCAGAATACCACACAGTTAACAAAAGCCACGTATTGTAGGATAGGGGTTTTTTTTAATCTTATGTATTACTTTGTTATATTCTCTTTCTAAAGAGCTTCTAGGATGAAAATCTAGGCGTACTCTGAAAAAGCCACTATTTTAGAACCAGATATAAACACCACAGATATTTTATGTCATTCAGCAATAATCCTCCACTTCACTTTGAGATGTTTCGGTATGTACTTTTAAGTAAATGTTTAATAAGAAACTTAACTTTTATTTTATGGAAAGGATAGTTTTTGGATGTTTGCATCTAGAATGCTGAAGGAAGAGTATCAAACCCTCAAGCAGTTTGTCATAAAATGGGTTTTCAGAAAGACCTCATAGCCTCCAAAAGTCAAGACAAGAAGAGTTCCTGGCCTTTCCCCTCTGCCCTGTCCATTGCCTCCGAGATAGTATAATTGCAAGTGAGCAGAGGAATAAAATAGATCAAAGACCAGTGAAGTCTCTCACATCCTATTGAAGACGGTTCCAAATCCTGATATCACCATTCTCATGGATTTCAGGTCTAGTTAAGCAAAGTCTACCTTGATCAAATGCTGTTATCAGAGACTTGTTCTCCTCCAGAGTAGAGAACCAGTGTATTAAGCTGTCTTTCAATACAATAGGCATCTTTCTTTCATCATTTATCCTCATACAGGCAGCTTGAATCTTCATATAAGAAACTTGACAGTCGTGAGCACAGAATACTCCAAAATAAGACAAGAGCTTCACAGACCCCAAAAACATCTAACCCTATTGTTAAGATCAATTTGATCAACTTGTAATACCCACCAAGAAGATCTAACTGAAGCAAGCTTAAGATGAATTTAAATTTATAGTCATATCTGTCTTAAAGCTCCAGATGTAACACAGGAATATGAGCTGTCTCGGAAGTATTTGCAGCCATGGGCTTCAAAACATGCATTTTAGAGCTACTTACAGCAATGCCAGCCTTCACAGAAGGTCTCATTGAAAGAGGTTGCTTTTTAATCTGAAGGGAAGCTTTTTCTTACTGGTTTCATAAGGTAAGCTTCTTAACAAGCCACCACCAAATTCAGCAATACACCAAGCCTGCACCCATACCATCAGAGGCGTCACAAGTCTAAAATCAAGAACTCTTGTTTCAAAGATGAAGGTAACCTCACAGAAATGCCTGAGACAGTGGGATTCTCTACAGAATTCAACAAGTTGCTTTAAGTATCCAGTTCTAAAATATATTTCTCTGGTTTGATCTAAGTAGATGCATATAGTACTAAGCACTCTCCACACCTTCTATCAATAAATTATAGACCCTACAACAGTTCCAGATTAATAAAGTTCTTGTTGTTTACAAAAAAAAACACAAAACCCAAAAGCCCAAATCCTCTGTGTCATGCCTCCCAGTTTTCTACAGGAGTTAATAGTGGAAAGGCTAAAATAACACTGAGCACAGTTGGGGCATGTGTCATTGCAGGAACACCACTATTATGGAAGGGGGCAGATAACTATGCTCCATAACAGTGTTAAAAGTTCTATGTGACATAATGCTGAAGTTCAAGTGTACTCAAAGGCAGAGCCTCATTACTGGGTAGTTCCCGTATTAAACACAGGAGGTCCTCTACAACTGTTCCTTGAAAAAGAGAGAAGAAACAGTACAAATTAAATAGGATTAGGAATAGAAAGTTAAGAGGAATAAAGACTAAGCAGTAAACAATTAAATATGGGAGCAACCTTTCCCAATGTTTTGGCTATGCTTTTTTTCTACGAATATTATAACAGTGAGCTTGATTTATTCCTACTTGTTTTCCCAGCCATTTAACATATTAACATCTTGATAATTACAGTAATGCAGTATACAGAACAGGAATTAAGTTTTAGGCAACCTCAAAACTTTGTAAGTGAAGATCATCAGCTGAATCCATGTACCAGCTCCAGCTGCTACAAGACTAAACAAAGGGGGTTGAGTATGTTTATGGATAGGTGTGTTAATACCATGAAAATACTGAATAGAACAACTTGGAAAATTGAATCTCCGTTTTTAGAGTTGCTTTAATACAATTCAAGTACCCAGCATTAGTCTTTGGCAACAATTAAAGAGTTCAGTGAGAAGGCTGTACCTTTTAATTTCATCAAGTTTTCAGAAGCTTGTTCCCTCCTCTGTTCAAGCCTATAGAGGTAGTCTAGGGAGGAAAGAATAAAGGAGGAACCAAAACAATCATGTCTGGTAACACCAGGGTCTCAGCATGGATGTTCAGCTCAGAATTCTTTAGTTTGAAACATGTATGAAGTCTGATACATCTCTATATGGAATGCAGCTTTCAGGGAATCTATGTTGTTGTAATAATTGCAAGTTTGTTCCATGGTGAAAGCCTGTTTGACACAGCTTTACTGTCAGATCCTTGTCACCAAGAGCTGGAGATGGTAACTCAAAATACACACAAAGTGGCCTGACAAAGAGCTCCATGAAGCTTTGGCAGAAGACAGCTTAAAGGCCAGCAAAGTTTGACAGATTGAAGCATCGGTTGTCTCAGACTTCCTGGAAGACTGTGTTACTTATCCCTAGTACTAAATTCAGAAGGCTAAGATCTTAAATCAAAGAGTTATTTACTTTATATTTTAACACAGAACAAGAACCAAGCATCCACTTAACTTTTTTTTTTTTAGGAAAAAAAACACCAGCAGCAAATCAAAAAGAAAAACAAACAAGGGAGAATTGCACTCCCTCCATTATTCTGCAAACTGATTAATGTACAAGTGTTCAGCATTTTATTTCTTTAAACCAGGTTTATATACATTTAACTTTGCACCCCTGATATCAGTTACAGTTTTTATTATGACAATACATACTTTGTTCTTGACTTATGGATACTGAATCAGCAGTTCTCTCACTGGCCTTGTTTTGAAGTTTATTTGATTTGTCTAGATGTATTGTTTTCTCAACTTGTTTACTCCAATCAGCACTGTCAACCTGGGAAGTTGTGTAGGATACCTAGAAGAGAAGTTAAACTTCAAAATATGTTCTGAAGTGCTAAACACATGGATTATACAGCAGCAGGATTAAAGATTTAGAGGCTTAGAGCCATAAATTGTTGCAGCTATTGCTTCTGTAAAGACCAGGGAAGAATTAGATTTCAGTCATATTATGGTAGTCAAAACAAGTTTACATTAACAATTTAGATTTAGAACATGAACTGCTCAGAGATCCCGAGTGATGGAGTGGGTAGAATATGAGACACAGATACAAGCTCTTTAACCCTTAACATGGTACAACATAATAGAAGTTGGCTTTTACTGTTGTAAAGCCAGTTGTTTCACTCTAGCTTATGGATCAGGGTGAAGGATAGCTGTATTACTTCAGTTCAGTGGTAGTTCTCTGCACAATTGTGTAGTAATCCCCTTGAACTGGGGAAGGTGTTGCACGAATCACAGAATCAATCACAGAACGGTTTGGGTTGGAAGGGACCTCAAAGATCATCTAGTTCCAACCCCCCTGCTGCGGGCAGTGGACACCCTCCACTAGACCAGGTTGCCCAAAGCCCCATCCAACCTGGCCTTGAACACTTCCAGGGAGGAGGCATCCACAACCTCTCTGGGCAACCTGTTCCAGTACCTCACCACCTTAACAGTAAAGAATTTCTTTCCAACATCTAATCTAAATCGACCCTCCTTCAGCTTAAACCCATTACCCCTTGTCCTGTCACTACACTCCCTCATAAACAGTCCCTCACCATCTTTCCTGTAGGCCCCTTCAGGAAAGGGGGCCTACTAATACTATTTGCTGCCTTTGATAGTGGACACAACTGGGAAATGGCAAAAGGTTTTCTTTCTTTCTTGCAGGACACATTCTTGTGCTGATAGACTCAAGCAGTAGTTTCTATCCATGTCAGAAAATAAAAGCTATTAAAACCTGGCTAAAGCAACTATGTTTGAAACAGTGTTGAGAAAGATTGTTAAACATCCTATGATGGAAGAGAACATGCTGCTGTGATAACATCAATAACTTCCTTTGTAATGCAGAGACCCTTCTAACCAGGATACTCTCCAAGAATATATTAAGACAGAAATTAACAGTGACTATGTATTTCAGAACCTCATCTATGACCCTGAAAGCCTTAGTTTCTATGGCTTTAGGAACAGGAAAAGCAACACACTTTTCCAGGATAGCCTCTAGAGTCTTCAGAGCATTACTGAGCTTATGAAATTGATATTTCCAGAAAACAGGAACATACATTATTAGCTGCCCATCTCGTTTGTGAAATTGTAGGTTTACAGGGCAGGCTTTTAACCTGTAAGTGTGCAAGGGTTGCTGAAGTTTAAGCTATAGCACTGAAAATAAATAAAAGTAAGGTTTATAGTATACTATAAACTTGAGATATTGATCAACCAAACTCTTTTCTTTTGTGTTGCAGCTAACAAGCAATGAATTAATGCCCTATTAAAAGGATAAGAATCCTTTTGTTAGTGGGGTTTTAGATAACTGTTTTGTTACAAACCTTAAGTGGTCTTCATTGCATCAAATTCAATTCTAGAATATTACATTGGATCTTACTTAAAGGAATAAGAACATGCTTTAAAGAATTTATTTGAAATGAATGCATTGGAGAGAAGCATGTATTCACCTCTGGAAGAGCATGTGTGCACTGGATGACAGAAGACTGATTTGTCCTTGGAGTACTCCGAGGAGTTTGCTGGTCTGGAGCATCATACAGAGCAGATACAGCTGAGATGACACCTGAGAAATAAGTAGTGTATGATTTCCCCTAACATGCAAAGGGCCGTCCTACATCTCAAAATTAGGTCACTGTTTAGAACTGTGGATTTACTGGATATGAAGATATGTATCCCAGCTGCATAGTTATTTAATTAGTTTTTAATTGATTTCTGAGTTAATCCACTACTAACTCAAGCTGTCTTTTACTAAAAACTTCAGAAGTGTCTCAAGTTGTTAGTCCTTTTGAAGCGAGGGAAAATAGCTCTGTGGATCAAGTTTCTAAGCAACTTGACATCTGATATGTCTAGACAACAGCAATCAATTCAGAGGACCTATGGCACCAAGCCTTAGATTCAGATAACAGGGATTTTGGACATGAACTGAGTGGTGGTGATGGATTTAAGCATCTAATTCCTGCCTTAAGATGTTCAACACTTCCTGTAACCCTAGGTTCATTAAGGTGTCATTTTCTATCTGAGAGGAAGGCATGAACAATGTCCCCCTGTTCTAATACTATTCTGCTCTACCACAAGACCCCCAAATAATTTGAAACCCTAGCCAGTCCTCAGTGCTGCCATACTTTTATTCACATCATGCTCTTTTATAATCTATACCCTGCAAGAACTTTTCCTATTACCCACTTGATAACCTCCGAAACCCCAAGATAAGCTAATTGGTCAGTACAAACATTAGTTCTGCCATCCTTTCTTTGCTCAGCAGTCAAATATAGCCATGATTCTTGCCACAAAGACATTACCTGAGGGAGACTGGGCATTTTGTTCTGATGGTTTAAGGGATCTATTCTGTAAAGGCTGAAGCCTCTGCAGCACATTGGGAGGTGGCTGCTGCTGTTCAGATGATCCACGATTTTGCAAGCTACTAGTAAGAGATGAGGGCTGCACTTGCAGAACAGCGTTGCGGGATGTCCTTTGTAAACACAGCGGTATTCTCTAGAAAGAGATTGCAGTAGGTTAATACAGTCAAATCTTAACTTCTATAGCATTTGATCCCCTTTCCCCACCACTGCCTCATTTCCACAGTTTATAGGATTCAGTAGTCCTTGTATTGTGATACTAATCTGGCATTCTCTAAGAGTTTAGATGACAAAAACCCATGAGGCAAAGTGCACTGCCTTGGTCTGACAGATGCAGAAAATCATGAGGCTTGGAAGAGTGTTGTTACTCAGAAAGTCAGTTAAGGGCTCCCATAACTGACCAAGCTGAAGCTTAATTCCTGTATTCTGTTTTCTCAAGTTTATTGCTGTCATTCTGTCACTGCAGAGGCTGTAATTTTTAACAAATTTTAATTCCTTCTCTCAGTCTTTGCTTATGAAAATGCAGAAGAAATAGCTGAATAATAAATTTGCAGCCTAGGTTTCTGTATCCGGCTAAGCACTTTAAGTGAAAGCAAGTCTATTGTAAGAAGAATGAAGTCTTTGCTGTGATCTTGCTTTGAAATCTGATGTCCCTATCTCTGGTAGCTTCAAGGGAAATTGTGAAAGGCAGCTAACCCTGACAAGAATTAACACCCACTGTATATACAATATTAGAGCAATTCAACCTTAGAGGCATTAAAAATTATTTCTAGATAAAACTGTTGTTGCTTATAGTAATAAGTGCTACCATAGTAATAAGTAATATAAAGTATCCTGAAAATGACTAGCATATTGTACAATTTATTTCAGGTGTAGAAGCAAGGCTATTCATAGATAAAGAAAAAAATTTAAGTGGGGTTTGCACTGTTTATTAGGTCAATTCTATACTCAAGAGATCAAGTTGAAGAGGAGTTTTCTTTTTTTGGGGGTGGATGGGGTAGGTGTGTGGAGCATGCTCCCCCTCTTTTCCCTTCTTCACCCGACACAGAATTACCACAATGATTGTAAGAGGTAAAGCCTCAGGAGTTCTCTCCTGTTCTCAGGAGTACATTAGTTTCTATACAGATACATAAGCTACTTTTAACAAACAGCAGATTTTACATCTCCGTGTAAATCAGTGCTACAGAACAAGTAGCATTCAGCCATATTAATTATTTTTTGATATAGTTGTATCATTTCCAGTACCATTGTATGTAACAAATAACTTTGGGGCAAAATTATTATACCTATTCCAATCAGTTTACCTTAGGCTTTTCTGTAGAAGTTGGACAGTTCTGCCTGCTTCCAGTCTGTTTTGAGCAAGTTTCTGTAACTGTAAATACAGCAAGGTGGGCAGAAAGAGGGGAGATAGAAAAAAAGAAAAGTCAGTCATTCACATGTTTCATTATTCACACATACAAGATGTGAGTTGCAGTTGTACCTAGAGAGCCAAACCTCATAGTGAAAGGAACATTCTTATGTTGAATACTTTGACTTCAGCTTAATGTGTTTAGAGAGCTTCTCCCAGATATAAAAACAGACCACAAGGATTCCTGCAGGATCAAGGTCTTTGCTGCCATCAATGACTTCAGTGTGTTTGCTTCCCCACACTGCAAAGGGTTGAACATTCATTTCACCTTACACCATTACCACATACAGATGTATGTATGTGTATGTCTACACATTGTAGACATCCAGTTTGGCACATCTATTCTGTCCTGGAAAACTAAAGAGACTTGTGTGTACAGAAAGAAACATCATTCTGATGTCCTGATGCTGCAGCACTGTGATGTCCCTTGAACAAGCTGGAGACAGCTGAAGCACCAGGATAGACTTTGGCTCTATAGTCAATGCTATTGGCATTTTTGTCCCACAGCTTAAGGACAAAGCCTCACCCGCAAGGTAAGGTGCCCTTCATGCTGCAGACCAGAAGATAAAGTAAATCACACTGTCACAAAGGAGTTAAAACTGCAAAGGCAAGCTATAGCTTAATAGTCAAATCTCCAGGTTAGATACACAGATGTCTTGCTAGCTGATTTTGGTCCCTGAAGTTTTTCACTGATAAGTTAAGTGGATGTTGTGGTATGTGTATTTTTTTTTTAGCCTACAAACTCAGTATTAAGACACTCATTTAATAGCACTGGAATTGAGCCTTCAACATGGAACAAACCTACAAGGGTAACTGAAATCCTTGGTAAGCATGCGGAACAGTAGGATGTTAACTGAGAAGGCAAAAGTTTTGCCTATACAAACAAAAAAGGAAGGTTTCTGACCCGATTCAGAGTCACTGCTATCTGAGGAGCTAGAGCCACTGCTAGTGCTGCTGCCAGAGTCTGAGGAGCTGCTGCTGTTGCTGCTGTCGCTCAGTCTACTTGGTCCAATATCAGACTCAGTAGTGTTTTCAACTGCAGGAAAAAAAAAGAAAGCATTTAGAATTTAGGATCAGCCTTGTTAGGTCTATTCTCCCATATAAAAGTTCATCTTCTGCCAGTTCCTTGTCCACTGTCTGTTTAGCAGTAGCTTTGAGATCTTTATAGAGGAGGGAGATTTACCAGCAGCAAGCTAGTTGAATGAAATAGCCAAGGAAGAGCTGTAATCACACAACTTACAATCCTAAAGTAGGTTGTAAAACTGTGCTGTCTTAAGACACAATTCAAGCAATTTTACCCCATAAGTTTTCCTGCTAAGAACCTGTTTCTGTGCTTGTTGCTGCTGCCAGACTTGCATGCTGAGGTCTTTATCTCTAGCCAACTCATCTTTCCCAAGCCATATGTACTTCAGAATTGTCATCTTTTGCCACCTCCCCACCAGCTGACTATTTTGCATCTGTTGGGTTGCTTTAACTCAGTTTATAGTGATTTTGCAGTAAAAAAGCTTTTTCAAAGTGTGTTTCTCTGATGGAAGCTTTGAGAAATGAGAAGCTACATGTATACCCATTGTCCTTGGACACAAGTTTTTTTGTGAAGTGTCAGCTTAAGCTCTTCCTTGTCAACAAGTCAGATGCCAGTTGTAAAGATTCCCTGGCCTACCTCCTGCTTCTCCCCACAACATATCCTTTGCAATGATTTCAGCTGCTTCTTTAAGCTTTTCTTTCTAGGATGTTTTCAAGCCATCGTGTATACCAGACAGGAAGACTGTTGCCTGAGCTAGTGCTGGGTGCAAACCTGTGTCTTGTAGGGCTGCTTCTATTATTTCAGCTAGCTGGCTTTACATAGGAACTTATGTGGTATCCAGTAGAGGACAGTAATAGCACTCACTAGTGTGAGGAACAACTTGACTTATAATAATACTACCACCTTCAATAGCTGCATTGACCTGTTCTCAGTCCCTGACAAGAACCACTAGTAAGCCTAGATATGCTCAAGCACATACTTAATTTCTGGCTTTGTTATTGAAATGCATTATTACCCAAGAAACTGAATTGACTCTCCTAGGGCACTTCCTTAAGACTAAGGCAACACAGCATACCTGTCGCTAATGCAGAAGTTTTGTGCTAGCATGACAGCATTTGTGAGGCTGCAATCTAATAAGTATGACTAGATTTTGTTATTCTTGAATCTAAATTACAGAAATTGAATTGCAAACAAATACATAGACTGTGGGACACTCCTGTGTCCCCCTCCCCCATATTTTCATATGTCAGTATAAGGAAGGTGTTCAGTGTCCCTTAAGCTGTTACCTTTACCTGTAATAAAGGATTAGGTGCAAGAATAAGGAATGTGTTTTAGACAGGACAAGGAACTGACCAAATCTGATGCTGTGACTCCAGCTAACTCAACATAGGAAGAGTCTTAAGACTAGCAATGGGAAGCTTAAGACCTCTACTGTTTTAAGGAGAAAGTCCCCAGCTGCATAACAGTACATAAGCCCAAAGAGAGAATCCTACTAAGCTATTTCTGTCGCAAATGAATAAGAGTCACATTACACTTGAAGTTCTCCTTCTTTGGGTTTAGTTGACCATTGACACCCAGTAGTCTTTTCTCTAGCTCTTGTTTCCTCTCAGAATTAAGTTGCTGTTTTGACTTCGTTGTTTTTTTAGCTGCATGTGAAACAGAAGTTAACACTGGAACAGAACAGAAGACAAATCTAGGTTGTGGTTTTGAGGGTTTTTTTAAGCATCATTTATGATACATACCCCGCTGCTTTCTTGGTCTGTTCCTCAAACAGGTTGCCACATATTTCTCTAGTTCTCTGAGCGTTGAAGTCTTTAAAGTTTCAAAATCTATTTCTATCTCATCAGGGTTAGAGTTCTTCAACGAAGGTTCTCTTGACTGTATTATATGGACTACTTTCCCAAGCTTATCTCCAGGGAGTTTATTTATGTCCAAACTCAACTGTCGTTTTTCATCATAATTCATAGGCTTAGCACGATCTTCATCTTCTGACTTATGTGCCAACAAGATCTGCTGTATGGTTTTCTTTGATTGACTGCAAGAAAAAGTATACTGCAGTAACAGCAGTTTAAAATAATTTGACACCCACTCAAGTCCCCCCACACTTACATGTTTAAAGACAGCTTTGTCTTAGATTTCTTCTCGTGTTTCAGATTTTTCTTCTTTTGAATTGGGCTTTTAATTTTAGCTTTTTCCTTGTTCTTACTTTTCTCCCTTTTAGCCTTCCCTTTTTTCTTTTTCAGTCTAGGTAAGTATGCTCTGGTCAAAGCCCGCAACTGCTGGTGAACAGCTTTAAGCTATCAAAGCAAAAAAAATAATGCTGATAAGATTAGGCATTGTAGGAGGAACAATAAGCTAGTCCTAAATATCACAGGAGATTTGTGGCAGCTGAGTAGATATTAATAGGATGTTTGCTTTCCAAATGAGGTTTATTTTCCAAGCATCTTACTATATTATAGATTAGTCACAGGTTATAGATATAGAAGATGTAAGGCTACATATTTTACGCAGACATTTCTAACAGCACATGTCTTCTAGCAAAAAAAAAAAAAAAAATCACTGTAGGAGTATCCAGCAGCATCTCTTAAGTGCCTCCCAAATGCTTGAAATTCAAGTGCCTTGTTAGGTTAGACCTCTACAGTGTTACTGAATTAGGGTAGTGGGACTGGGCTTGTGCATCTTCAACCCATAAACCCCAAATATTTTGCGATATAAAATGGCTAGCTAGGGCATACTAACAGCTTCAGAGAAAAACCTAACAGAAGTTTGTTTTAACTCATAGCAATTAGAATGAAGATGGGCATATGGTGAGAATTAGAATTCAGACACACTGAAGTACTTCACTATTGCAGTCTTGTAGACTTTTGGTTGTCCTCATGCCTATATTCATAAATTGATGATGTATCACTTCTGACAAATACTGAAAGCTAAACTGTCACTCATTTGACTAGCAGAACAAATGTTAATTTTCCCCACAGTTTATAGATACAACAGCAGCAGGTTGAAGTATTATGTTCGAGCAAGACTCCTTCCACTCAGCCAGTGAGGCAAAGCCATGCTTCACATTAGCACGAGCATGAGACTCCTTCCATTTTACACCATGCTGAGCTTTCTGAAGTAGAAGTTAATGACTTGCTTGTGTGGCTCAAGAGAGACTGAGCTTAAGAACAGAGCTCTTCAATGCCATTGTTAGAAGAATATGCCACTAAATTATGCATGGAGTATCTGGATCTCTCATCATACCACAAACAACAGAGTTTTGGGTTTTTTTAAAAGTTTGAGAGTCATCTGAAGAAATGGTAGGCAAGAGTAATAGAGCAATGGTTCACTAGAACCATTCACTCACCATTTACTGAGGCACTATTCACTTAACATTTGGAAGTGCTTCCAAACAGGAATAAAATTCTGTATTAAAAAACCAAATTACTATAGAATCTTTTACATACTGATTCTCAGTGCTAAGCCTTAGTGTGGACAATTGCAAGTGGCACTAGCAATGAGATAAGTCATGCAGATTGACTACTAATGCTTACTTGCTCCTGAAGCTTTGCAACATGCACTGTTCTCTCCTGTTCAGAGTCTTCAGATGATTTTTCTTCTGAAGAGTCATCATTATTGCTCTCACTAGAATAAGCTTCTGTCATGTCTCTTGTAGGCTGTGGCAGAGGAACACTTGCAACAGGTTCATCGGGAATCTTGGCAAAACGCGTCTCAAAAACATCCTAAAGAGTTAGGTTCGGGAACAGCAGAGAGGTTGGATTTCTGAAAGCATTATGAAGTCACCGCTTGTTTTCTAGAACTACACAGCAACATAGTAGTTGGTAGGTAGTAAGTGCTACATCAGGGCATGAGATGACCACAAAGGAATCTTATAGTTCTGCTCTTTTTAGAGTTTGACTTAAGCAATAACTCACCTGAAGTTTTCTTGCCATAACAACTATTTCATGGTCTGGAGAATTATGTTTGTAGCAGCTCATGAACATTAATCTAACATCTGTAGCAAATTCTTGTATATCACTATATTCAAAATTATCCATTTTCTTCTAGAGGAAAAGAAAATTAATGCACATTTAGGGCTTAAAAGTAGAGAGTGTCACCATGAACTGGCAGAAAAAGAGGAAGAACAAGAACTTCAGCATCCAGTATCAGGTTCAGCTTGTGTCAAGAAAGTAAATATTGTAAGAACCGTTATGGAAAGGTCTGCTTCTCATTTCAACATGTCACTTTAAAAGAGATTATTCTCTTACTTTGTTAAAGAGATTTGCCAACTGTAATTGCTGTAAGGACTTTGTAGTACTAGGTTCAGCACTAGGTCAAGACAACAACATTCAGGTGATTTTATTTAGTCATGTACTCAGCACTTGTTTTTAAGCATGATATTTATACAAAGCCTATTCCACAATTGTTTGAGTGAAAGTTATGGGCTAGAAATTGGGAAATAACCTTTGTATTGTGCAAGCCATTTTTTTCAAGATAATTCAATATTAGCTTGTTCAACAGGCAAGTAGATTAGCCACCATCCATATAGTCATGATGAGACTTAGAAGACTTTCTTCGGTGAGCTGTGGCTTAGTTTGAGAGATATAAGTGTATATGGTTTCTATGCCCATTATTTCTTTCAAAAGGAGAAACAGCTTTCATGACTTCTTTTCAGCTTACACTATTAAAATCCAGTCATTACACAAGTTATTCAAGCAAGCACACAAATAGTCCAATTCCCTGTGAAATGTACTTACTTTAATGGTTCCCAGGTCTGTAGGACATTTGGTGATCCCTTGGTTCTTACCAAGTGAGAAAGATGCAACATCTACAGGTTTTAAGAAAGGCCATGCATATGCTGCATGTTTCTTTGAAAACATTTCTTGAAGTATTTCATTACAATGTTTTAGTTGTTCTGACACCTGAATCTTTTTAAGAATTTCAGGTGACTGTTGAGAATCTGGCAAGTATCTCTTCAGAAGCTTATTTGGTATCATACATTCATTTTCACCTCTGCATGCTTTAACAGCTTTTCTTTCATTAAATGTTGCAGAAGATTCACCACTTGCTGTGAATATTGAAGTAGTAGGAGTTGTAGTGTCAGCCTTCCTTTTCACACCTTTTTTTGCCTAGGAAAAGAAAATTTTACAGTCTCAAATACAAGTGTCTAAAACAGCAAGAGAATGGTCAGGTTTCAGACTACACAAATGTAAAAAGTGTCAGAAGTTTTACAGCTATTGAAGTCAGAGCAGAGTGTGGCACTTCCACAAGTTTAGACTGAAAACCTACAGGGCATTACAAGATCAGCACACCAAGCTCAATCTTGATGGAAAGGAAAGAACAGGGGGTAATGCAGGTCAGGTTGTGGTCAGTTTTTAGCCATTTGAGAAGACTCCAAGAAGCTGGTAGGTTATGAAGTTACCACAAGATGACTGCCATGGGAAGGGGAAAAATTACTGCAATTCATTTTAAGCCTGGTTGAAGGCTTTATGTACAAGATTTATCTCTATTTTAATTTAACCTGGGCGGTATTTGGTTTGGAAGCAATACAATGTGTGCTTTGTCATCAGTGTTCAGATTCTTCGGTAAAGTGTAAATATACACTGTAGGAGAGCCTGGCACATGTGCCTGTTCCTCATTGGAAGAGGAAAACCAAAACTAAGTCAATACAAGAGTGTTTATCTGATGAAAATGTCATTTGTTCATATACAATTCAGATTGCAATTAACAAGAATTTGCTTTTGTGAGCTACAAACATCTTCCAGGCAAGTTACACTGTTTAAGCAAATGTGCTATTTTTGGAGAATCAAGCATTTGATTCACAAACCATTATCTACACCTGAAAAATACAACCGTTTCTACATCAAGGTGAAGCCTGCAGAAGTATAGTAGTACACTTCACGAATGATCATCTTGAAGTTCACTTTGTTTCTTTGAGAACAACACTTATAACCACATTTATAAGAAGAGACATGCCAAGCAGTCACCCCAATTTCTGCTTAGTTTCTAGAGTTAGTATGGGCCCAGTTATTTAGCAGAGACCTAGAAGATTTAATAGAGATCTCTCAGTATCTTCTATCACAATAGAAGTTTTGAAAAGATATTGCAATAAGCATGGCTCCTATGGTTTTGCTGTTAGTGCCTAAAGGAGCAATTTCAATACCTTTCTTTCTGAAAGTTACTCGAGGAAACTTACTTTTGTTATAGGGACTGCAGCTGGCATTAGAGCAGTCAGCTGAGCTGCAGACAATGGAGGTAGTGTAACCTGCTGTAGCTCTTGAGTCATCCCTGGAGGCTGCTCACTGCTTTCAGCTTGTTTCTGCGTCATGCGGTGTTCATTTGAAGTCCCAGGGTTGGGCTGCTGTGTTTCTGATTATTTTAAAACAGAAAGTTTTAAATTAGGTCCTAAATGTTACAGTTCATTTCCTTCATGATCAAACTGAACAGTTGTCAACAGAACCACTCTTCCACACCTAAACTATACAAATAAATACAAACAAGAGCATTGATACATATAGCAACATTGGTATCCTCCTCTACTCACCACTGTTAGTACCTCAGCTAAAATACCGTACCAAGTTATGTGTATTTGGCTTCAAGGAAGCTGTGGATTATCCTCAGAGGGAAGATTAGAGACACACTAAAACCTGTACGTTGTAAAAATGTTCTTGCCAAGAAGAGAATCAAGTTGTTTTCTACATACACATAATGACCAGCAGCAAAGCTTACATCAAACTGCATCATGAAGGTTCAAGTTTCCTAAGCATAGTTAAGACCTGCATATATTGCTTAGCAATATTACAAATATCCCTCACTGATTTGATGACACTTTAAATCAATGTTTTTCTATATTTAATTTGGCTGGTTAGATTACTAATGTCTTTTCCAGCTCTGTGATTCTGTTTAGTTCCCATGGATGTTCACACCTATTAGTTTATATAGCACAATGCTGAGCAACACCATGACATTCTCTGAAAACGACCTCAGTTACTTTTTTTATTTTAAAGGGAAATAAGCTGCATGTATCAACCTGCCTCTAAAGCCAAAGTCTGCAAGAGACAGGACAGAAATATTTCCTTGATCATAGCAACATGATCTACTCTCCAACTCAAAAAGAAGTGCTTAGAAGATTTCAAAATTTGTACAAGCTCTAAAGGGAATGAGGGGACTTAAACAGCATTAATACCAGCAAGACAGTGTTACAACAACATCTCAACAAATTGTTATAATCATTTGAGAACCAAAAAGCTAGCTCAGCTTCCAACACTTTTCTCAACAGAAATTTCTTCTGCGAGTTGCTTCTACCTGTTCAACATATTCTGCCGAGGCAACGAATTGCTTGAGATTTTAGTAAGAGCAGGAAGCCAGCTAAGTATCCTTCTCTTCCTCCTAACCCTCTAAAAATTCTTGTGGAAGGATCAAGAAATCCACTGCTTTTCCATATCCATCTACCAGATTACTGAAAGGTAGTATTGCTCCTCAAATATACTTTGAGGAGAAAGCTATAGAGATCTATCAAACTGTAATACTATTTTGAAGAAACATTTGTCTCAGACACTACCAGAACAAGGGCCACCACACCACAAACAGCAGTAAGAGGAAGCAAATGAAGTAGTCAAGAGACCCTGAAGAGCTGTATAGTCACATAACAGATACTCTTATTATTTAGCTAAGTGACCTTATAAGAACTGAGCTAGCCAAGATCACTGCTGCATGGCTGTCAGAAGGCAATTAAGAGGTATCAGGGTGAATTGTTGCAGCTCTTTCAAGACGTAACTAACATTTCCCCAACAACTGACAGCAGTATCTCCAGGCTAATGTGTAGGACTACCTTGAAGGTCTCCTAATTAACCCACTGAGATGCACATATGATTCCGGACACTGCATAGTCTTCCTTCTATCAATCAATATAAATATTTTTTCTTCGGTAATGTTGAGAGCTTAGATGTAGAAATAAGCACTTTAAAAGTGAAACAGGTCATAAAAGCAATTAAAAAGACATAGGAAGTCAGTGATGAATAATAAGTTGCAGCTGATCACCTGGTGCCTTGCAATTAGGCTTCCCAATGTTGCTTCAAGCACTTACTGTATAATTTCCTCATAAGTTTGAGATGTCTTGACCTAACTATCCTTTCTGTGGGCAAGAGCACTGCATATCACCAGAAGTTTGCAATGCTATGCTGTTACACTACTGATGAAGATGTTAATTCTGATTTTTTTCACCCCTTCTTAAACACGCTTCATTAGTAGAAAACAGGAAATGTAGCCAGTACCTATAAAAATACTATGGCTGCACTGAATCTGCTAAAGCCTTACAGAAGCATTATTTGTCTGATATGTTCTGGGAAGAGCAGAGAACACCTCAACTGCACCAGGGTTGAGTTGTGACAAACTGCAGAGGATTCCATGTTTCCAGCTTTTGCTTGTTTAATATGTTAACAAATCAACATATGATACAGGCCTTACCTTCTGGCTTCTTGCCTTTTCTCTTTCCTTTGTTGAGAATCACTAGTCTTTCTTCTGGTGGCATTTGGGCTATTTTCTGCATAAACACTTTTTCTAGTTCTTGGGCCATAAACACAATGTCATCACCTGGCTGCAAAATAGAGTCAGTAACATTCAGAGTAAAGGAGAGGCTGCAGTAATGGAAGGCTACTTTGTTAAATAAACAGTCTACAGAATCCTGCTCCAACAGATTGAAAGAAGCCACCAGTACTAGAGAGGTCTATCAGTCCTTGCCATCCTCTACTCACTTTAATACAAGTTGCTTCATTATTGAAATACTTTCTCTCACTGTCCCATTGCACAGTCCTACTTGCTTTATATCCACACACTTCCCACAGCAAAGGGAAAAGGGGCAGATCTGTAACTTGCTAATTCATTCCCATGTTCTGAAGAAAGCTGTTGAAGATTAAAGATACTAAGACACAGCCCACAAACATCCAAGCATAGGGAGATGCTCACACTTCAAGTTAGGTTAAACTTGGAGGAGTGGAACATGGCTCAGGGTTGCAAGTGTTAAACCTGGATAGCAGTTACACAGTACTTGCTGTTCTAAGCTCTACGACTAAACTCCAGAGATTTTGCAGGCGGAATCCTTGTGCAGAAAAGAGCATGCACTCAGTTGTTGCAACAGCAGGCTAGACTTTACTTATGTGCTCTCAGTCAATCCAAACAGAGCCTCCCCACACCCCCCTTTCAGAGAAAATAGTTTCAAAAAAAGTCGTGAAGATACTGACTGACTTACTGCAGGCTCTAATAATAATTTGCTTGTTTTAGACTTGTTTATTGTTCAATAGAATTGGTTACTGGTAAGAAGTTGTTTTGCATACCTTGTTATATATGTAGCAGTTCAAGAACATAGTTTTAAAGTCTTCAATGCATTCTGCAGCTTTTGTGTAGTAATTGTGTTCCAGACGCTTTTTAATGGTGCTCAAGTCCATAGGTTTCTTTATAATACTGTAATAGTCCTGTGGTTTTGAAAGAGTTAGTCACAACAGATATCTTTAATATTAGGATGTGAAGATTCTTACACAGTTGTGAAAGTTAAATGGCAAGAGAGAATTGTATTATGTTGGAAAGAATATTTTCTTTAAATGAAAACTTTCCCCTATAGGGAAAGTCATAGGTACCACAGAAGTAAGTGTTCAGGAACACTTCACCTCATGTTTTCTCCTTGCTCTTTCATACAAGATCTCCACTGTTCAAAGCCCCAAAGAATATTTATTTCAATACGATCCAGAGCTATACTGGTAGTAGTACTTAGGAAAAATATATGTACTTCTCATTTGTTATCTCAGAGTCATTTACCTGAAGTAACACACCAGTTTACAGAACAGGGGGAAAAAGACAAAGACAGACTCTGACAAAGACAAAGACTCAGTCACTGACAAAAAGAAGCTGCCAAGTTTCCACAGTTGCTGATCAAATACTTCATCCCCTGGGTTATATTGCCTCTCCTCTCAGGGTTAGTCTAGAGAGGATGTGGCAATATGTCTGAAAGGCAGCTGGAATGTGAACTATTGTGATTATTTTAGTAGCATGGGTAAAAGCTTGTGATTAAGAGCACAAGGGTAATTCCCTACTGGTACATTTAAGAAATCAGAACAGGACTATCCCTGCTAAGTTCACATACACATTGTAATTGTGTGAAGTTATTACTACTTCAAGAGTCTTCTAACGCTCTCCTAAAAATCTGTTTTAGTGAAATAAAAAAGGCTAAATACATCATAGTCCCACCCATTGAATTTGTCAAAACAAAACCAAGAAAGCTTTTAAATAATGCAGCTAATAAGTACTGTCCATTCTGGATCTTCTAACACCTGGAGGAGAAAGGCAAAGGAGGCAAATACCTTCATTGTCCTTGTCATAGAGCCAGAGGTTTACTTGTTATTGTGCAATGGTTGAACTACCACATACTTTTAGAAGTCAAGTGGCTGCCTTAGAAATCCAGAGAGGCAGAACTGGCCTGAGGCCAGCTGTAAGTGTTGCTACAACTCTGATTGAATGACCCTTAATATTAACCTTAAGTGACAGTTCCTTCCGAGAAGGGAAAAGGGTAAGAAAAGACACAGAAAGATAGTCACTTTGACTGTGCTTTTGGACAAACAGACCAAGTAAATTTGTCACGAGAAACAGATACAGATAAAGGATTTTGTCTGCTCTAAACAGAGCCAATAATTTTGTAGCATTAGTCTTGGAAATTTGAGAGAACTAGACATGATTGCTTAAGCTGGGGGAGAAAAAAAGACTCAAAGGAAATGTACCATGATTTTATTTAACACCTTTCTACTTATTTACCCAAAGCAGTGTCTTCCAGGTCATTTGAAATACCATTGTGCTAATAATTAATGTTTTCATTTGACTGAAAAAGCTGGGGTGATCCAAAACTGGAGTCTAAAGATACCTGAATTGAGACAATTTGTCACAAGACATTATATTCATTCACTTCATTGCAATTAAATTCTAACATAAATAAAACCCACAAGGCAATACAGAACAAGAATTTAAGTATCAGATCTTCTATTCCCTAAAGGAATGTTCTACCACTGTGGTACGATGGGAACATCATATCTCTTTCTTCCCTATTTTTGCAGGGACATTTAATTCCTCTAGAAACTTCAGAGCAAGATGCCAAAGTTTATTTGAAATTAAGAAGTACTACAAGTGTAATTACTTCTGTGCATCAAAGTGGATCCAGATTTGCGTATTTACTTTAAGGTCAATCAGATCTGCTTTTCCATCATAAAGTAGTTGATATTGAAAGAAGCTGAGCATCTCCTATTAAAAATAAAAAACTCAAAGGCAAAAGAAAACACTCATCATATGCAGTATAAGAAAATACGGCTAAACCAGCAGGGAGGTAGAAAGAAGACAAGACAGAATACCAGCATCCAGAAACTTCCAGAGTCCTGTCTAAGCATTCTTATTATCCCTTAGAAATATTGATTTACTACAGTCTCAGATCAGAAAACAAATGAACAAAGATGCAGCATTTAGTATGAACCAGCGGGAAAACAAAGTTTTTGTGCAGACTTGGATTAATGAAAGCAGTTCATATACAAAAGTAGTCTTCCCTAATCTGTTGCATCAGGAAAAAACCCCAACATTTTAAACTAACATTAATTCACAAGTCCTATAATACTTTACATACTAATACTTCAATTCCAAAATGGTTCTTACAGGAAGATTCAGTGCTGCTGCATCTACAGGCAGATGAAACGGCCAGGAAAAGTTGTGTCTCCACATGGCTTTCATGACCACCCTCTGTAAGTACTGAAGCTGGTTTGTTTGACAACCACTATTTTTGTTATTTATATATTCTGGTGGAGGAGGGTTAATAATAGAACAGCGTTGGCTTGGAACAGACATCTTTAGCAAGTTTGTATATATGCTTGTTCAGAGATCTTCATTATACATCTAACCTGGGGAAAAAAAAAAAGAAAAATAAACAGCATTCAGTGAAAATATCTAGATTTAATGCTGTTTACATGTTCACTTCTTTTTGTAGAGTGTCAATACAGTAGTCACAGGTATACCTTCATAGTTTATCCAAGACAGATTTGTTTTGAAGTGTATAATTGAATGTGCTGGACCATTAGAGGTCAGTTCTTCAGGTTATAAACAGCTATATTTGTAAGGCTTACAGAGGACGCATGTTGAGATCTGTAAGCTTTCCCTAGAAATAAGCTTCCTCACTAAAGTTCCTCTGTCAAAGTCTAGGAATACGTTCTCTGCCTCACCCCCTCTTCCTGTAGAAGAGGTATAAGCTAAGAAGCAGCTTCACAGCACAAACTGCAAGCCTCACTTAGCACACAGCGACAGCTACGCACTACCTTCCTCATGCATCTCAGCCAAGTCACCACACAAGTCCTACAACTGCCAATAAAATGTTTTGGCATAAGTGAATTTGAAAGAGTGCTTTTGTGTATATTCACAACAGCATTTTCTGCCACTGTGCATCAGCTTTGTTATGTACCAGAGGATTACAAAAGGTTAATTCCCCTCACCAGTTTTGGATCGTTTGAAGAACACTGCAAGGAACAGCCATCGTAATTTGTCTTTAGCCAGCACGGTGTTGCTGTGCTGGAGCAGAACATGCAGGTACTTAAGAATGGCGGAGGCAGTGTTTTGGGGTGCCTAAGACCAGCACTAAGCTAAGCAAGACCTTTGCCAAGCACAATTACAGAAATTCCAGTCCTTGCCCACCTTCTTAGCTCATCATGGAGTTACAAACACTCAAGTCAAAGTCTCACTTTCTTCTCTCTATTAAGACAAAAAAAGCATCATATTGCCTCATTCTAATATTAGTTCCTTAGTTTAACAATGTAACAGGGTGTGGGTGTGTGTGTGCATTCATTTGATCAAGCATTACTTATTCCATTCTCAATTTATCCTGCTTTCTGCTAAAAAAATCTGATAGCCTGCTTTTCATCATGGTATAAAGTATTTAATGAGTTTCAGAAAAGGTCATAATAAGCTAGATAGCTACTATTACCAGCACATTACTAAAGTAGTATTTATGCCCCACTCTTAGAACAATTGTAACATCCCATCAGACACTACATGTCACACATCTTACATTTTCATCTTTGTTCTTTATTTCAGCATTCAAAACCAGACCTCTTCTCAAGCAGCTTGTGAAGCTAAAGAGCTGTTCTGATTTCTCCCCCATGTGTTCAGTCTAGTTATTTACAGACTGCAGATGTCTTTCATTAACCACTACTGCCATCAAGGTAAAAGTTTTCTTTTTTCTTAAAAGAGGAAAACATATCAAACCTGAGTTGTTAATACCAGGAACAGTTCTAGGCTGTGAGCCAGCATACTTACATAGATACTACATCAGTAATAAATTTAGTACAAGACCAGATTGTTTTGAGGTCCACAGTAAAGCAGGTATCAAAACTACTGTTATTTTTCATAATACTAATTTTACTTGAGAGGACAATTTTAATAGCTTGAAGTTTTAGTTTCAAGTCATATGAATAACAAGCTGTGTTAATTTTAAATTGGAGAATAATCATCTTCTATCACCTGTGTCTTCTGATGAGAAGAAATGTAGTAAATTTAAAAAACCCAAAGGGTACTAGTTCTCCTTGAGTACGATGTTCAACTTCCAGGGTACAGCATCTGCAAAACAGCTTGCACTCTACAGGGAAGATAGAGTTTACCTTGTGCTTAACAGTGTGCTAACTATGAAGTTAAGCATTCTCTCCTGCCTGCTTTTGCAAAGCTAGCTGGTACAGCGGTAGGTACTGGAGTGTGCTGCAATAAGGAACTTGGGTTCTTTTTTTAATTCCGAAGTGACTTCACAATCTATTCCACACACCCCACCCCCCCCATCCCACTTTTCTTCCAGAGGGACTTAGAAACACCATAACTCACAATACCTCCTCTTAAAATACTGAAGTCTCAGCTATCTCCTTACAGAAAAATCAACAGCTTTAAACAGCTATATATCATTTTCATCCCAGGTGCTGAGGTGCTAACAATATAGCACAAGATGTGTTGCATTTTTTTGCGGTTGTCAGTCTTGAGGCAACTTATTTTCTCCTAGGAGAGGCTGGTATGAGACTAACCTGCTCTTTTTGACCACTCAGTGCGTACTTTCAGTTGGAGATGCCCGTAGCTACCCAGAGGGAACCCAGGCAGGTGGGGCAGTGAGAACAACCTGACTGGCATCATCCTTCCAGTCAGTACAGAGCCCTGCCTACCTCCTGGCACAAGCTAGTGGCAAGCTCACCAGACACCTTCTGTTGATGCAGTGCCACAGTTAAGGCACCCATATTGTTCTCCCGCTGTGCGAGAAACATCCAGTTGTTTTCTAGAGTTTGCTGCACACATTTAGAATTTGCATGCCTTGGAAAACAGCAACACCTGCGCAACATGAAAAGTGAATGCAAATATAGTTTTTATTACCAAGTACACAATCTCAGGCTTTGTACGTCTTTTATTCAGATGCAGATACACAAGCAGGTAGCAGTATCCACAATGAGAAAAGACCAGAACTTAATAGAAAGTTTTATGCTGATCTTGAAGTCTGGAAGGCCAAGTAAAACTCAATATTTGGAATATCTCATGTACTCTAGCAAGAGATGGAGGAAAGGAAGAACACAAAGATGAAGGGAATAATAGCTGCAGAAGCTGCAATTGTCTCATCCTTTCCAGCACTACAGACATACGAAGACTTTATAGTAACATGCACAAACAACTAAACGGTATCCTTCATTCTCTCTACCCCAACATATGTTTCATATTTAACGAAATATACACTCTCATCCCCAAACAACATACAGCTACATCCAGTCCCGAGAGCAGCTGCTTTGAGTAGAAGTTATTTATACTGCTATATGCCATTTCTTGCACCAGCAAGAGCTTACAATAGAAGTTAAAACAAGCCAAAAAAGCTGAAAAACTTAAACTGGACTCCATATCTATTACACCTTAGATAAGAAGAGTGCATAGAGTTAGTACCATCACACATCATGCTAAATGCTAACCTTTTCACCAATGTATATATCACAGAATGGAAAAATCCAGACAAACACAGAATCTGCCTATCTTATAACTACTCTGTATTAGAGGCCATTTTGAGAACCTCACAATCCAGCCAAGTCCATCACCCACTGTTTTTATCTGTTAGGCCACGCTATCATTTTTCCCTGATTCCTTCTGCCACAAAACACATTTTGTGATATAAAAGTGCAATTAGTTCACCTTCCCCATCTGAAGCACAGAGCCGAGAAATTGAAGACAGAAAGGGAAAGTCTACAGATTGAACTTAAAAAGATCCCATCATAAATAAATAATATTTAATATTGAAAGAACATCATAAAATAACATCTAATTTCTCAAATGTTTTATAAATTAGCACAGTAGAGTCTTGAAGAAAGCTGAAACTTGGCATCAAGAGTGCCCAAGGAAACCAGGAGGATGAAGTTTTATGTACATAACACAGTGTCTTGGGCCTAGATGCCTAGCTTTTAAAACCTTAATTTATGCTGTTGAAAATAACTTCCATACCAGCAAAACAGCTAAGACTGCATCTTCTAAAGGACAGACAAGGGTTTATGTTTTGGTCAATCCTTCCTTTACTACCCTTTCCTCCCTTTTTCCCTAGCCACATAACATTCTTCTCTAGCTTAAAATAAAACCCAAGTTTATATACTGAAGCAAAAATGCAATCAGATTCCAGCCAACTAGATTGTTTGATGTTTTTCAAAGCACCCCTTCCCAGCCCCACATGTCCTTGAGCTGCTGAGGCAGGACCCAAAGGTCAAGTAGTCTCAAAAGAGAAGGCTTCAATGTTTCCTTAAGGTCCAGTTTGAAGTTTTTAGCTGACCTGATAGAAATATGTTTTTCAGTTTAAAAGTAAAAAGTAAATAGCTCGCATGAATTACATCACTACAAGAGTCAAGACTTTTGGCAAGATATCACATCTTGTGAGAATCAATTTTTTTTTTTTTTAAGAAAAGAGTACTTGCAATCTCTGATAGCTCTCTACAAGTAGGCATTAGCTAGCCTACTGAAAAAATGACTGTTTCCCCTTGTTTTAGCTCAGCACTACAGCTAGCAACATAGAACCTACATATATCATCCTCCTAGTTGGGAACAGAAACTCAGAGACGCATTAGATACCACATACAGAACAGAAGCATACTGTCTACTAGACTCTACACACTACAAACAGCTCATCCCTCAAGGTCTTTTTAGCAGTTTTGTGTAGCTGATAGTTAATTATCACATAGAAATTTTATAAACAATATTTAACACCCCCAAGTTGATATATTAAGACCACCCAGAACAGAGCACAGCTTTCTTACTTCAAGTAGCACAATCTCTTCTTTCAGAAGGACAACTATCCCTTTACAAATACCCATGAAACAGCATTTCATCATTTTTAGGACCTTTCCTAGGATACATCAATCAAACATTAATTGTAGAGACAAGGCATATAAATACTAGATCCTGAGAAACCACTGACTTACAGCTACTACCATAACCAGCCAGCCTTACTAGCCTTAGGCAATTCAAAACTTAACTACCATCCTCAGAGCAGACCAGACATCTTTTTACCTTAGTTTTAGGGAGAACCACAACTCATTTCCTCCCCACCCAAGTAGCAAAGGAAGAACAGAGCTTTAGAAGAAAGCCAGAAAAGTCTTTATAATCTACTCACTCCCTTGTTTTGCTCTCTAGCACACACCTGCGACCCTAACTAAAACCTGCCCTAACAACAGTTCTCATTGGAAGTTATCAGTATAAAGTAGGAACAGCTGCTGAGGGCAGGACACACGGGTTGGTTATTTATGCCAGACCTACTCACTAGTTAGTCAATAAAACAAGGTAGAGGGATGTAAAAAGATGAGTGA